AAAGCTATAACCAGCAGCTAAAGCCCTGACATCCTGAAAATCGCTATTATTCCGAACAGAGAAAGCCTGCTCGCAATGATTTTTCGGTGCAATCATCACAAAAAACTACTAGTTACTCCTTTACATTTTAGCCATAAATGTCCTAGAAACTGTAATCCAGAACCATTGAAAACGCACATCAGTGCAAAGAGGGGTATTTATTCAAAAATCACTTGTCGATCGGTGGGAGACAGTCGACGATAAAACTGAGATTTCAGTGCTTGTCAAGTTTCATGGCACCAAACTCTGCTTATCCAGAGCTATTCACACACAATGTCATCTTCGTCACCGCGAGGCATCCCATTCTCCGCACACCGTTTTCACTCTTCTGGATCATCACTCGGTTTGCACAACAAACAACGATGCGCAATAAGGGCCAGGACAATTATCTCAGTTTAGTACTGCGAGTGTCTTGTTCGAAGATACAGCGACTGGTGCCGAAATCAGCCAAGCCGATTTTTTAACTAATTCGGCACACAAAAAGCAGCAAAATGAAAACACATTTCACATTCCTGAGTAGCCTCACATCACACACACACACACACATGAAAAATGAATTTCAACATCCTAGCTTTCGCAGTCCTGGAGTTCAGTTGTTCGAATGAACAGAAAGCAATACGCAGAGATATTGTTTCACCAAAACAGAGCATTTTGATTTTTGTAAAAGCGCACAAAAATTGAAATGAGTAAAGCCACCATCAACCATACTTTTATGCATGTCTTTTACACATGATTATAACACGTCTGTGTTTTGCGAAAAAAACTAAACTGTAAGCAAGCAGGATTTTTCCCGTCTGCAAATCTTTTCCACTTCAATCGCAGGATTGATTTTAAGAATATCTGGAATAACTACACGGCAACTCCTCAGAATGCGACTTTAATTTCACTGCAATCAATCGATCTTCCCATCTCCCCAGTCCAAGCAATTCAGGATTTTAGACTAAATATGGCCAGTGCTCGGCATTTTTGAGCGCAAGTAACTAATGCAAAAATACATTCACGGCTAGTCAAAGTCTCGGCAAGCGGGTTTGTTCAGGTGGCTCAAACTGGATAAACTAAAGAATGCTGGAATTTGGAAAATGACGGAGTCAGACAATGACGGAGCCACAAATCCCGAATCTATTTTTCAGACCCTTCAAGTTCCAGAGCTTTGCCAATCAGATTTAATATCGCCCCAGTCTTGTGACAACGAAGCCAAAGACGCTACGAAAGGGAGATTTTAGAAGTTGTTGGCATGCAGACAAATATGCTGAGATTGTCTTCTAAAGCCCTCTGTGCCCTGGCCTAGAATGCCGAGATTATCTTCTAAAGCTCATCAGTGAAGATATTTTAAAAAGAAATTATCAGTGAAGAAACCGATGAAAATAGTTTTACGTTTTTTTTTAAAAAAAAACGAAAAACTTGTAATTCTAGGTTCCACTCTGCCACGGAAACTGAGAGACTTGGTATCACAGTTTAAATCCTACTATTATCGATAGTCGCAGGTCACGAAGCAGAGAGGATTTACAAATCCAGGATTAATCTGTGTTTTCCCCCTTGCTCCAAGCGGACGTCCCGGGCCTGTTCTGTATCATTTTGTTTGAATATGTTTGGTAGCCAC